GACCAGAGAGTCTTCTGCCCTATTCTGTAGGTATACTTTTCCAAATGTATTATTTTAGATTTTGGAGGAAAGGCCACTAGAAAAATGTGAATGTGTAACCAAAACTTCATTTGGAAAAAATGCATGCAAACGCTCTATTCTTTAACACATTTCTCTAATTTCATTCTATTTGAGCATGCATCTTTTTTCTGATAGTGGAAATCTGAAATATTTTACCGTGGAATATTTGTCCATATATTAGATTTTAGTGTGTAACACAACAACAAGGAAAGAGACAGTGATAAGATTCTTCAGGAATGAGAGTGTGGCTCAGTAGTAGAGTACTTACCTAGCATGAATGAGGTCTTAGGTTTTATTTCTGGCATTGAAAAAAATATATACTTGTTCTGTAACTTCTGAAAGGAGGTAGAGACTAGAAATAGAATTGTTGTTTGTAGCATAGTCTGTAGCTTTCAACTTAAGTCCAGATGTTAATATTGATAATTAGTTTCTAAGCAAAACCTCAGATTTAGCTAAATATATGCCTTCCATAATCAGAATGATTATTGATAACCCTGCTGTTCTTTAGGCTTTCCTAACTTCAATACATCAGTTATTTAATTAGCTGGTAATACAGTTTTAGCATTGCAATAAATAGCATTTTTGGAAGATATATGCTAATGATTGTTAGACTTTTATTTTAATAATACTTCATATTTCTAATGATTGTATAAAAATATACTTTCCCACTGGGCATGGTAGTCTTTAGTCCCAGCACTTGGGAGGCAAGGCAAGCAGATCTCTGTGACTGCAAGGCCAGCCTGGTCAACATAGTGAGTTCCAGGACAGCTGGGGCTACAGGGAGACCCTATCTTAAAGACCAAAAAATAAATAAAATAAAATAAAATAAAATAAAAACCAAGGCCGCATAAAATATAATTTCCCTATTTTCCCTTTGTAAAATACCAAAGATTAAATCAAAGTTTTGTCAGCAATTATCACAACAGATTAATTTTCCCATCTATTTCTTTAACTCTATGTCCATGGCCCATTAACTGTACAGAGGGAGATATTCACAATTAACCATTTTTTATATATAGACCCTGTAGCTTATGTTTTAATATGCTTTGTAACAATACCTCTGGTTTTCAAAGTTTACATTTTCAAAGGACTCACATAATGATTTTTATTTGCATGTAAAATACGATGTAGCCAGAAGACATAAACCTACCTCTGATAGTCTTGTTGGAACAGCGTGAAGTCAGCACAGCACTTGTGTTTCAAAACGTAGGTGGATAGGTTCACACTATCCTGTTTTTATGGAGGGAGGAGAAGCCTTATTAATTACCAAAACCTAATGAATTTTGATGACAGAAATATTTATGAAAAGCTGGGCTTCTAATGTATACGTGCAGGACAAACAGAACGAAAAGGCAAAATAAGGCATGGAAAATAAGAAAGAAAATAAATAAATAAATCAGGAGCTGGAAATACATCTCAGTTGGTATTTTCCTAGCACCGATGATGCTGAAGCCCTTGATTTGATTCCCCGTAATGGCCAGTTGGCCATGAGTTTGTCACAACTTAGAATCACCTGAGATGAAAGCCTCAGCTGAGGAACTGTACAGATCAGGTTAACCTGTGGGCAAGTCTATGAGGGATTGTTTTACTTGTGAAGTGGCATAGGATGACCCAACCAGCTGTGGACCCTTCCAAGGCAGGGATCCTGAACTGTGTAAGACTGAAGAAAGATAGGTCAGAGAGTGCAGCGGGAAGCGGGCAGCCTGGGTGCATCCGTTCCTTTCCGCACTTGACTGTCCATGTAATGACCAGATGGTTGGGTTCCTGCTTCCACTTCCCTAAAATGACAGATAGTAAAATGTAATGTTATGCCAAATAAACCCCTTTTTCCCCAACTATTTTTCATTAGGATTTTTGATGACAGCACTCAGGATTTGATGCAGGAAGTTCAGAGAAGTTCAAGGTTATCTTCAGCTACATAAGTCTAGGCTGTCCTGGGCTACCTGAGACTGTATCTTAAAAAACTACCCAGTAGGCCTTAATCACTGAAGGATGTGAGATTTTAAGAAACTTATAGTTAAAAATTTGTAAAATGAAATATTTTTTAAAAAGCCAACTGTACTTAGTTCAACTTATCTTACTATACTAAACATTTAAACCTTGATAATATAAAAATTGATGAGTATATTTTGATATTCTTTGAGATCAAATATCTTGAGTTGCTCTCCACATAGTGGAATGAAAATCATTAGTTTTTGATTATATAAACACAGATTGTACTCAAGAAAAAGTATCCTATATCTTTGATTATTCATTCAGCATATTTAGTATGAATAATATTTCTTAAATTACTTATTCAGCATATTTAGTATTAACAATATTTCTTCAGTTACTCATTCAACATATTTAGTATAGATAATATTTCTAGATACCAAGGTAGAAATATCCTAAGTAATGATTTGAGTGATGACAATAGCAGCCTTCGATGGATTAGTTGGAATGAAAATTCAAGACATACTTTATTATTTCTAATTTATTTTTGAGAAATAAATAAAAAAGTCACCCTGTAACTCCAGCCAGCCTTGAAGTCACTATGTAGACCAGGCTAACCATGATCTCAAAAAATCTACCTGCCTCTGCTTAAAAATGTTCACCACCATGTCCAGCAAGTTTTAACATTTATATTTGTTTGAAAAGAAGTAAAATTCTTTGTTACAATTGGATCTAAGTATTGTAAAGAAAGCAATTGGCAAGATATTTGTTTGTTAAGAAATGGAAGTAACTGCTTCCACAAATGAGACACTACTTGATGTAGGGTGAATTTTTTTTGGCTTGATAATACTGAAATTCATATCAGATGACCTTTCCTGGATAATTACTACCATCATTAGAGCATTAATATTAAACTAAATAGGGATTAAATTATTTTTAACAAATTTTGCTTAATCAGATTTTTATTTTGATGGTGAAATAATATTACTTGAAAATATCAAAGCAAAATAAGATATATTGTATTTACTCAGAAAACAAACTTTTGAATTACCAATTAGTCCCTCAGATACTAAGTGAAAAGCATTCTTTCAAAATCAATCTGTATTCATCTTTCCAAATGTACATTCTATAACTGATTTGTGCACATAAATGAAAAGTTTACGATATGAAGAACTATATGTATGTTTTAACAATGTTAACTATCGTGATTATTTTACCACCTCCACCTTACCTATCAAAATTACCAATGTGTTCTTTACAAAAGATGAACTTTCCTTAAAGCACATTTCAAGAATGTTTATTCCCATGAAGGATTATTATGAATGCTATCTATGTGATATATAAGCATTTATAACTTTTTTATATATAAGATTTATAATTTTTGTGTATTCATA